AAGTCGATTTTTTGAAAAAATAAAAATTTTCTCAAAATGTAAATTTTACATCATTTTCAGCTGACGGACGCGAGGAATGCAGTGAACTGACGGAAAAACATGCTAGAAGTTTCAGATCCAAAATAATAGAAATTTTCGGCACGTTTTAAGCGATTGAGCTAAAAAAAAAACTTTTTCAAGGGCAACAATAAATTTAAAAAAATTTTTTAATTTTTTTAATAGTTTGTGAAGCGGAAGATGGTTTGGAACTGGCTTGGGAACTACCAAGGCCACTAGCGCAATCAAAGATGCGCTTATTTGTGGTAAACTATTTGGTGTCGATTAAATGGGGGGGAAATCGATTATGGACATGTTGATCCATTATATGTAAAAGCCTTTGTTCAAGATGCAATTATTAAGTATCTGGGGTTCCGATAGCCTTATCCATATGAGTTCAACTTGAATAATAAAATTGCGAGGTCAACATTGACGCTACGGTTGCAAGATAAATTTTAGTTTAAACTTCAAGTGCTGTCGCTGATACACTGTTATAGTTGGCTGGATCTTATTGGGTCCCCCCGTGCTTGTGGCACAACACGAGTTTCCGTTTTATCTTGCTATTTGGTTCATGTTCAGAGGGTTCCAATGATGATAATGCTGTAATCAGACTTTCTCTCACTCAAGCCGTATTGTGCGCTGTGCAAACAGTCGGCATTGTTGCATAAAAGCCGGAAACTAACCTCCTTTGCCCATGCTACCGACTTCTTCGACATCCATGAAGAACACGGGAAGCACTCCAGTGAGTCCAACCAGTATGGACCCGATAACCGACCATAACCAGGGCATGTTTGGAATGTCTTCGAACCATAGTGGAACCTCGAACATTGTCGGTTCCAGAAAGTCTGAATGCAGGCTGGACGCGTTCGTACCGTTCAAATCTGAGATGCACAACACCGAACTGAGTACCATGTTGAATGGGATTTTTTACAAGTGCGGTCAAATTTTTTCACTAGCAAATCTGAATATCGCGTAATCGATAAGAGATAATGATAATAATAGATAAAAGAACTGTTTTGATAATTCACCGACTAACCTACGCTGAGATTGAGCCGACAAATTAATAGCTAATGAGTCTGATACGGGACACTTATTGTGTTATATACTCATTCTGATCGCTACCTTCGCTCACATTTCACTGTATTTATTTACACTTGAGACGCACTATTGTTTTCCACTCATATGCTTCTGACGTTCATGACAGATCAGTTTCCCCCACCAGTTGTCCAGATGCTGACCGACGTCTGAGCATCTCTGCACAATTTTCACCACCGGTTCAGTTTATTCCAAACAGTTGGTGAATTATTCTTACTAGTCCCGTTGCTGGGGTTACGACTAGCAGTTTCTGCATATTTTTATTATTTTCTTGTTTTAACTTAAAGAACACTTTAACTTAAGCCGTTTGGGTCGGTTTAGATTATTTAACTCTTTCGTTTTTGCAAATATTTTTTGGTTTCATTAAAAAATCGCTTCAACGTTAACACAAACAAACTCAAAACTAACCAAAGGAAAAATACGTGGCAACACCGTGGCGTCATGGGTCCAGAATGCTTTGCGGCAGCGGAGTGCGAAAAGTGCGCGCGCAGCCTACTACTACCATTCACGCAGTTCATATGTATCCGGATTATTTTTCCGCATTCCGCCGACAGTGTTGCCATCTCTTTCGGGTAGCGAGACACGATGCAACTCTTTTTTCTACATTTTTTCTGGCCAGTATTTTGAGGCTCATGAAATAAACGTTCGAAACCAAAAGTTAAATCTGCTTTTGTCTTTGTACCTACGTTCTAAGAAAATGAAAATGACGCCGCTGAACATAACCTTTCACTGGAGCATCACTGGAGATAACCTAGGTTTTCACGTTCAATATTAAAATTTGGGAACTTCTGCGGATGGGTGAGGCTAACGCATGCGTTCAACTTCTGATTGGTCGGAAGATACGCATTCCGGACTCATGAGAACCCGGCTTAAAGATACAAATAATCCGACGCTGATAACCTCATTCAATTGGCGACGTTAGAAGATGTTCAAACTTTTGAAAAAAAAGCGAAATTCACAAGTTTGCAAGGGTTTTTTGGCTTGATTGATGGTCCATCCAGGAATTTTTTTCTGAAAGTGCTTAATTTCAAGTGTTCTTTAAGCCAAAAAAGGAGAATCTAAAAATTCGGAGAGACTCAAAGGGCAGGATCACCTGTTTGGCCGTGAGGAGTGGAGAAAGTTTTGCCGAACTCTCAGGATCAGTTTGGAGGCAACCTCGAAATTCCCCCGATTTTTCCGGAAGTCCAAATCACTTTCCGAATCCCTGTTCAATTGGGAAACGAAAAGGTCTCTTATAGTTTTTTCGTACGACGCCTCGTTTTCGAGTGAAAAATAAAAATCAGCAACTGATCCCTATCGGTGTGCCCGTGCAACAATGGAAACTTTTGGCGTCGAAAAAATGGAAAACTCCATAATCTCTTCTCTCCTTAAGAAACTTCTTCAACGACCCTTAAAAAACCCCATCTACAGCGACTTGGTTGATGTTCCGAGGACCGCTGGTGCAACATTTACTTCCTTAATTAATGTGCGCATCAGCGCGCTCGAATATTGATGTGCGCAGCCAAAGCACGCTTGTTTTCAGCGTTTTAAATAGAAATCCATCAACAAATTCCTGCGTCGCAATTAAATTCATCATTAGAAACAATGAGAACGTGAATTTAAACCCAACAAAGCTGAATCTTTCGTGTGATTGGAGATTTCTTCTGTTGGGTGAGAAGGTTGGGATTTTTGGGTGATCGATACGAGCTCAGATGGCGGATGAGCGTTTTTCCTGATCAACTTTGTCCAGAATTCAAAAAAAGGCGAATTCAGTTTTACAAAAAAAATCAATACACTATAGAATCACTGGTAAACAATCTGGGAATGAGAAAGTCCATCAACGAAGTACCTTCACTGGGCAGGTTCACCCTGATAAAGTACTCCATAGCGTAGGCGCTGGATAGGAGCCCTGAGCCCAAAGTCAGCATGTACCAGAACAGGATATTGACGATATCCAGCTTGGGGCTTCTGATGAAGCTCAGAACGGTGCCCACAATGATGAAGGCAACGAAAAGGGCGGGGAAAAAGAACCCAAACATGTAAGTCAGAACCCATTCGTGGACGACAGCGGATACCAAGAAAACGGTGATTTTTGCGATGGTTTTGTTGCCCGGCACGACATGTTCGTACATGTCCTTGTAAATGTACGTGTAAAGCCAGTCGCCCACCACCATGTTCCATGTTCGGAAGTAGTCTGAGTAGTTGGTGGACGTCCACCAATCCTCATAAAACTGACGATCGCCGAACTTGAGTAACTCGCCCACTAGGTTCTGAGTCGTATCAAGGACGACGTAAAAGGCCAGCAAAAGGAACATCAGTCCCACTGCGAAGTTATTAACCGCCTTCAAGATGAGCTCTTGGAGGGTGAATGCGCGCAATCCAATGTCTTTGTGTTCGGGTATCAGAAACCGCTCCAAAAGAAAAGCGTAGTAGAAAATTACGCCGATGAAGTCCACTACTTTTGTCCCCACGAATCCCCATCTGATTGCGTCTCTTCTGCGGAAAAACAGGCAAAGTAGAGGAAGAACTGGGGGATGAAACGGTTCAATCGCTTACCTGGGATACTGATCGCAGTAGACCAGCGTTGGGGCGTACAGAAAATACATAAAATCACGCAGGCTGGCCAGCGACAGTGTTTGATCGGAGTGGGGTTTGTAGTTGAGGACTTTTCCGGCATTTCCTCGCACAAATGCGTGGATCTTCATCAAAAATCTCGTCTGGAAATATTTCAAAAATCGGTTATTTCAATTCAAGTCTTTACTACATATGAAAGATCTATCGTAAAATGTGCAGGATTTTTCCTGATTTTCGTGAGCAAGATTTTCTCGAAAAATCACTTGTTGGCGTTCATGTGAAGAGCGAATTAAAAAAACGTGCTTTGTAGGAAACTGTCTAATGTAAGCTCACAGTTTGAGGTCCCACGCATGACAATTCTTATGTCATTTTTCCGTGTCAACTACTCAATTATTTGCTCTCAATGCTCTGTCTAAATTTCTTAAATAGCAAGGATTTTTCCGCTTTGGTGAGAAAGTTTGCAGACGATCTTAAAGAAGAATGTTTGCGCTTTTCGCGCTTTTTCCCTCGATGGGACTACAGATTTTTGTACCCTCTACTGACAGCTTGAGGTGACAAGTATGACAATTATCTTGTCATTTTGTGTGTCAACTGTTCGATTTTTAATGATTATTGTGCGCGATTTGCTCCACTTTTCCAAATTTCTAAAATGCTAATGATTTTTTCACTTTAGCGAGAAAGTTTGCAGATTTTCTGAAAAAAGAATGTTCACTGTTTCTTCATCAATGTTACATTTTCCAAACTTTCTAAAATCTGCTCCCAGTCTGAGGTTGCAAGTATGACCATTTTTATAACAACTATTCAATCGTTCAGAGGCTTTTGTGCCCTATTTTGCCCGCCTGAATTTGTAAAATGTGCAAGATTTTTTCGTTTCATTGCGATAATTTGCAGATTTTATCGAATAAAAAATTTTCTGCTGCCGCTCAGTGCATTTTCCTCAACATGAAGAGGGTATTTCTCAAAAAATGCACTTTTTTCAATCTTTCTAACGTCAGCTCACAGTCTGAGGTCACAAGTATGTCAATTCTCATGTCATTTTTGGTGTGAACTGTTCGATTTTTAATGGTTATTGTGCGCGATTTGCTCCACTTTTCCATATTTCTAAAAGCCAATGATTTTTTCGCTTTAGCGAGAAAGTTTGCAGATTTTCTGAAAAAAGAATGTTTACTGTTTCTTCATCAATGTTACATTTTCCAAACTTTCGAAAATCTGCTCCCA